GCTGCTCCCAGTTATTGCCTGAGCTCCAGAGCTGGGGCTTAGCCGAGACTGTCTGGGGCAGGATGCCACCCCCTTCTCCCCCCTGGGGCGCTCCTGACTTGGAACAGGATGATAGGGGCTGCCATGGCCACCGCCACCACGCAGTGACTGGCTGGCCTCCTCCCACCCAGGCTTTGTGGCCACCATCAGTGGGGCTCTGTTCTGGGGTTGGTCCCAGTCCCCTGTGGTAAGCCAAGGCCCCAGGGCCCAGGCTGTGCGGTGGTGAGGGCGGAGGCATTGGGCAAGGGGCTGTGGAGAGGGTGCCCAGACCTGTTCCAGTCCCACCTTCCCGGCCCATGGCCTCGGTGCCTCCTGGCAGGTCCAGGGTGTAGGGGCACAGGTGACAGCCTGGGGTGGCAGGGGGCAGGCAGCCTGATCTTTTGTCATACGCTGGCAGACTGTCTGCTCGGTGGAGATCCTGTGCTGGGCAAAGGGGATACAAAGACAGAAGAGGGTCCCTGCCCAGGCTCCCGGGAACTGAGATCCCTCATGCCACACAGTGCAGCAGAAAAAAAAAGAAAAAAGAAGACGTAAGTGTCCAAGAAAAGCCCCAAGAGGCCTATGGACACCCCAGTCTTCCCAGCCCGCGGAGCCCCAGTGCTCAATCCAGAAAGGCCAGGGGGTTCCTCAAATCACATCGCAGACACTCCTCCACGCCCCCTCACCTCAGGCTGCTGGGACCAAACATATCCCCAAGGGAGAAATGGGAAGCATCAGTGTTAGTCAAGTGTTAGGACGAGAGAGTTTTGAGGACCTGAGTTAGAGATGATTCCTCCTCACCCACCTTAGCTTTCAGCAAGGAAGGGGCACCGAGAGGAGAGAGACTTGCCTGAGGAAGGAGCAGAGACAGCACTTGCTGTGGTCCTCACACCGCTGCCAGGGCTAGAGCTGGGACTCTCAGCAACTGTGTCCCCAGGATCCCAAAGGAAAGGACATGGGACCACCCCCACAGGAAGGCAGGCAGAGAGCAGGCCACTCCAGGAGGCTGTGGGATCCTTTCTAGAGCCTCTGGGAGGCTACAAATGGCTCCCAGTTGCCTGAAGGAGTTGAACCCAGCCTCCCATGGAGGATGGGGTGAAGGTGCTCACAGAGCTAGTCCCTTAATGCCCAAGAAGGATTCTTCTCCCTGCCTAGAGTTAGAACACCAGGCACTTGGGGGAGCTGGGCTGGGAGATGAATCCCCACTGAGGTGTATGTCCTCGGGCAACATTCAACCTCTCTGGGCCCCTTCACCTCTGCCTATAAGCAAGGTCCGCCAGGGAAATCCTTTCAAAAATCACTGGCCCCCACCTCTAAACACACCCTTTGACATGGCCCTGCCCACCAGATGGACAAGACCCAGCTCCACCCACCAGTGGGCAGGCATCAGTCCCTCCCACTAGTAAGCCTGCACAAGCCTCTTAGGTCAGCCTCACCCACCAGGGGGCAGACACCAGAAGCAAGGGGAACTACAATCCTGCAGTCCATGGGACCACAAACACAGAAGTCAGACCAAGTGAGATGGCAGAGGAATACGTTCCAGACGAAGGAACAAAATAAAACCCCAGAAGAACAACAAAGTGAAATGGAGATAGGCACTCTACCCGAAAAAAATTCAGAGTAATGATAGTAAAGATGATACAAGATCTCAGAAAAATAATGGAGGCACAGACAGAGAAGATACAAGAAATATTTAACAAAGAGCTAGAAGGTTTAAAGAACAAACAAACAGGGCTTCCTTGGTGGCGCAGTGGTTGAGAGTCCGCCTGCCGATGCAGGGGACACGGGTTTGTGCCCCGGTCCGGGAGGATCCCACATGCCTCAGAGCGGCTGGGCCCATAAGCCATGGCTGCTGAGCCTGTGCGTCCGGAGCCTGTGCTCCGTAACGGGAGAGGACACAACAGTGAGAGGCCCGTGTACCGCAAAAAAAAAAAAAAAGAACAAACAAACAGAGCTGAACAATAAAATAACTGAAGTGAAAAATACACTAGAAGGAATCAATAGCAGAATAAATGAGGCAGAAGAACAGAAAAAAAAAATTGCTGACCCACCGTCCCAGAACTGAGCCATCACTTCCACTAACCTTTGTCTCCTGTCCCCGAGGCTATAATCACTTTCTCAGCTCCCTTATCTCTCCCCACGGAGCGTGAGAGGGGGAGACAGTGGCAACTGGGGAAGGGAGTGATGTCAGCCATCTGAGTCAGGCGCAGCCAGGATGGTGACAGTAGAGTCAGCTGCAAACACACACTCCCCCTCTCCCCAGAGATTGACATCCTCCAGTATTTACCTGGTGCTCTGTGCCAGGCTTTGTGCCGGGAGCTGGTAACAGGCGCTCAGGCAGCCTAGGGCCCACTCTAACCGTTATTGCTTGGAGACAGTCTCACCAGTCCCAGCCCAGACAGCACGGAGCCACTGTGCCTCCTCCCGTCCAACTCTCCACTCATCTTTATACAGGACACCCAAACTCAGACCTCCTTAGTGTAGGAGGCGTGGTTCCCTCCCCACCTCTGCTGCTTGGACCAAGGGCTTCCATCTCTGAGACCTTCCCCTGTCCAGGGGCTCTCCCTGCACAGGACGCAAGGACAGAGGGGACAGAGCGCTGCTGCCGCTATGGAAAGGGTGAGGGGGGACAGCCTATGGCATCAACCAGGCACCCAACGTGAGTCAGGCTGAGCGATAGGAAAGATGCAGAGGTGAAGAAAACAGCCACTGCCCGTGAGGAGCCTCATCCAGGGCAGCGCTTTCTCATCTAGTAGGAATGATTATTATAGTCGTCATTTATTGAGCACTTACTTTCCATGCAATAATGTATCCAATCCCTATGCTGGGGATGCTCCGTTTGCATCCTTTCTGCCCCAGATCCATTCCCTGACCTCCTTGACCCCTGCAGGCTGCTCCCTGCCTCTCTGGCTTCCGGAGGAGGGGGTTGGCCAAGGAGGGGACACTAGCAGGAGATCTGAGAGAGAGGTGGCTATTTCCTCCTGGCCCCCTCCCTGCTCCAGAGGTGGCTGCCTTCCTCTGTGATTACAGCTTCTTCCCATCCCCGCACCTCTATCACCCAATCAGTCATCCATTCTTCCTCTTGTCTCTTCAGCTCTACTCAGAGCCACCATCTCATCCTGATTTTCCTGGGACTGTCCTGCTTTAGCGCTGAAAGTCCCACACCCCGGAAAACCCCTGGGCCCTGGACAAACCAAAGGTTGGCCACCCTGCTCAGGGGGAGTGGGGGGATGGGGTGGGTGGCAATGGCTTCCCACAACTGCCTGCCTCTGGCCTCTCCGTCCTGTGTTTGTGCCCTCAGCCACATCCACACCTCTGTAAGCAATCCTTTCATTAAAGTCCATTTAGTTGAACTATCTTGGGTAAATTGGTTTCCTTCTGGAACCCTGAATGGTCCCAGCCCCACACAGCCCGGTGAGGTAGGTATCATTATTACTAAAATCTTTTCACAGGTGAGGAAACTGCGGCACAAAGAGGTCAAGTACTTGGTCAAAGTCACACCACCAGTGAATAGCAGAGCCAGGATTCAAGCCCAGGAATTCTAGCTCCAGGGCCATGTGCTTACCCACTCATGTCTCCCTCATAGAAGGCAAAGGCTGAAAAGCGCCTTCTTAGATACTTTTGATGGAGAGAACTGTGGGTCTGAGAAAAGGGCTGGCCTCCCCATAAAGGAGAGGGCAATGGCGTGACCTCCTGCAGCTCAGGCCATGGAGTTGGGAGTTGACCAGGTGGAGACAGGGAAGAGGGAAGGAGCAGTGCAGGAGCTGATGGGCTGCTGGAGAATGAGAAGGTGACCCTCCCGCCCTCTTAGCACCTGGCCCTGATGCCCACACTCCTGGCTTCATGCAGAGCTTCCTGCAGAAGAGGGAAGGAGAAGATGTTTCCAGGGTCATGTTCAGACAGGCCCAGAGATAGGATAAGCGCCAAGGGGCAGGAGGGATGGGGCATAGTTCCAGTCCCAAGTACCTATCAAGCCTCCAGGCACAAGCTGAGCTGCTGATCCCCATCCAGGGTGCAGGAGAAGAGCCTTCCCAGAGGTCCCAGGCTAATAGGAAACCTGCGTTCCAGACAAGAACTGGATAGAAACAGAGCCAAGAACAGCAACGGGTGCAGCCAGACTGTGCCAGGGACAAGAAGGGTCTCGTGCATTCTGACATGGAGAATTGGGGAAGGTTTCCAGGTGGGACGAAAACTGGTGCAGACTTGGGAAGAAGGAGGAACAGGGATGAATGGGGCTGTCCTGGGTCAGGAGTAGAGCCCACTGTAGGCAGTTAAGCAGGGAGCAAGATACAAGAGATACTAAAACATCAGTGGGATGGAGGAGATGGAGGGCATCCCAGGGAGCATAGTGGAGGGTTAGAAAGAATCCCTTGATGAGCTGATTGGGGTGAGGAGTGAGATGTCCACAGGACCTACCCAAACAACCATAGATATTCCATAAATTGCCTCCCGAGGAGAGTGAGCTGGGTAGCTGCATAGCTTTTGTTTTGCTGGGTGAGCTGTGCAATCCTGGGGCAGAGCTGAATTGCTGGAAGGAGCGGCAGAGAAGCCGCATATTGCCAAAAGGAGCCTTCATCTCTGGCCTGCAGCCTGTCCTCTAAAGGCCCTTTCAACACATATTTAAGGCTATGGCTTAGCACCATTGCTGAATTATTAACCTGCCCAGGAGAAGGGTCAGGTTAAAGCTCAGAGGCGAGAGATGGGGGTGAGGTGACAAGACCCAGGTTTGCCACCCTGGGTGGAGCTGGAGCCAGCACATCACTGGGAGGGGACTGGATGAAGTGACAGAACACAGAGGACCTCAGCACAGAGGGGTTGTGCAGGAGACACCAGGAACAGAAGGGGTGAGAAAGACACATTAGGAGGGCACAATAGGTCTGATCTTGTTTGCCAGAGTAGCCCTAGTCCTGGCACTCAATCAAATTTATGGGAGGGAGGGAGGCGGGAGGGGGAGGGAGAGCGAAAGGAAGACCCACTACCAGGAGAACTGGGTGCTGCTTTATTTCACAGGAAATAATTGGACAGAAATACAGAAATGGAGGCCCAGAGGCTGCTGAAGAGGGCAAGGATGGTGTCCCTTGGTTCCAGCCCTCAGGCTCTTGTCAGTGGGCCTCAGGCCTCTCCCATGGGATGCGGATGCAGTCTGGCCAAGCCCAACCAGGAGTTTTCCTAGCTCGGCTGAAGGCTGTGGAGAGAGGAGAGGACGAGCCTGGCTGGAGGCTCGGCGCTGTGCTCCTTGGTTAGTGTAGGCAGCGGACAAATGAGATGCAAATCAGTACGCGGAACAAGGCCAGACTGGGCAAGCATTCAGAACAGCAGGCCGGACCCGACTGACTTCTGCAGAGCCCCCTGTGGGCTGGCTCGGGCTGTGGGCAGTGGACACAGAGCTGGCCATGCAGGGATGGGAGTGATAAGAGTGGGAGAAGAGCTGAGAGGGCTCAGGAAGGCGGGAGGGCGGGAGGAGCAAATGGCCTCCGAGTCACTCAGTATGTGATGGACGTCTTCAGACTTGACTCGACCGTCTTCTTCAGGATGGTGTGGCAGGTGGAGCTGGAGCCAGAGCCGGACACAGAGCAAGAGCCCAAGACAGGGCCCTGCCCAGAGCCCAGGATGACGTTGGAGTCACCGGTCACGATGCTGGAGCGGCTGGACCCAAAGCTGCCATTCCCGCCTCCGAGTCCACAAGTGCCCACCAGGCCACCATCTGCTCCTTCAGACACGATGGTGCTGCCTTCCCCAACAGCTGCCAGGAAAGGCACCAGGGTCACAGCAGGTCCTCGATTCCCCATGGGGCCCCTCTCCCAAAGTCCCCTGATACTCACAGATAGTGACTTGACCGGTGTACTCCCCAGACGTCCTGGGGGCAAAAGGACGAGAGGAAGAAATGCTAAGAAGGGCTGCAGAAAATATGCTCCCAGGTGCTTTTAAGCCTCTTAGAGCAGCTCGCCACCCTCTGAGCAGATAAAATCCTCAGTCCCCAATTTTAAATCCCTCCCAGCAGAATGGGTGGCCCCCGGTGGCTCACAGCGGCAAGAAACCTCTCAGCATCCTAGGGGCTTCCCTGGTGGCTCAGTGGTTGAGAATCTGCTTGCCAATGCAGAGGACACAGGTTCGAGCCCTGGTCCGGGAAGAACCCACACGCTGCAGAGCAACTGAGCCCGTGTGCCACAACTACTGAGCCCACGCACCTAGAGCCCGTGCTCCGCAACAAGAGGAGCCACCGCAATGAGAAGACCGTGCACCGCAATGAAGAGTAGCCCCCGCTCGCCACAACTAGAGGAAGCCCGCTTGCAGCAACGGAGACCCAACGCAGCCAAAAATAAATAAATAAATTTATTTTGAAAGAAAGAAAGAAATCTCTCAGCACTCTGTGTTGGCCTTGCATTCCCCCACCCCCACCTCCGTCACACATCCTCAGGGCCCTCTGACCAGCCCCACCTGCTCTCCTCGCCCTCCAGCAGCCTGCGGTAGGTGGCGATCTCCACATCCAAGGAGAGCTTCGAGCTCATCAGCTCCTGGTACTCGCGCAACAGCAGCGCCACGTCCTGCTTGGCGGTTCTCAGAGCGGCCTCCAGCTCGGCCAGCTTGGTCTGAGCATCCTTGAGGGCCAGCTCCCCACGCTGCTCGGCATGGGCGATGGCAGCCTGCAGTTTGGCATTCTAGAGAGGGGTAGAAATAAGGGAGGAAGTGGCTGTAAGCCCGACACAGACTCCCAAAGCACCTACTGTGGCTATAACTTAAAGGCTGAGATGGACCATAATCTCAAGAGCTCAAAATTATTCCTGGCCATGGCCAGCTCTTCTCATTGTCAAAGAGAGTATTGCCTCTTCTGCTTCTTTAACTCCCAGAGTGCGTTAAGTAGCATCTCAAAAACGTCAGGTCCATCAAGAACTTCAGAAAATAATCTTATTTGGAGATAGGGTCTTTGCAGATGTAATTAGTTAAGGATCTCAAGATGCTATCACACTGTATTTAGGGTGAGCCCTATATCCAGTGGCTGGTGTCCAAGAAAAAGATGAGACAGACACTGAGATGACGCCGTGTGAAGATGGAGGCAGAAATGGGAGTGATGCACCACCAGACGAGGAATGCCAAGGAAATTCCGGAGCCACCAGAGGCCAGGAAGAGGTGAGGAAGGATTCCCCCAGCTCCTTCAGAGTGAGTGTGGCTGCCCGCACCTGAGTTCAGACTTCTACCCTCCAGAACTTACAGAATAGATTTCTGCTCTCTCAAGCCACCAAGTCTGTGACACTTTGTACGGCAGCCACAGGAAATGAATGCAGCTCCTTCTCCACTTTCTCCCATGATCTTCCCCTATTTCTCCCCACCCTGTCGACCCTCAGCACCTTCCCTGCAGCACTTTCTCTCTCCTAGGGTACTTAAAGCTCTTCCCGTCCCGTACGGGTCATTACCTACAAGTCTCCTCTTGAGGGCCACGTGTCCTTGAGGCTTTTGGAACAGCCCCATTTCAAATACTTTATCCTGATGTTGTCAGAGTCTCATGGGCCTCAGTTTGGGGTCTGAAAAACATTCTCTGTGCTCACCTCTCCAATCCGACAGAAAACTCCTAGAGGAAGGACAGCATCCCTGTCCAATCAGCCATCTAGTTGATTTTCCCTCACGTTCGGTTCAAGAAAGAAGACATTCCCTAAAGGCTCTCTTTCACTTACCACAAAGCACCCCATGGATGAGGAACAGGGTCTCCATTCTACAGGTGAAGAAACTGAGACTCGGAAAGGAGGTGAGTGGCGGAGCTGAGACCCTAACCCAGAACAGCTGAGGTCCAGTCCACCGCTCTTACTGTAGCCTCAGTTCATCAGGCTTGTGCATGAAAAGGAGGAGTGAGAGGGGGCTGTGACCCCAAGAAGGATTCTCCCAGGAAAGGCACCTTGCTATGCAGGGGGGACTGTGTTTCCCAGACATGGGGACATAGTGACTCTCCTAAGTACTGGCCACTGGTCTCTGAGACTCCACGCACTTCATTGTCACCTGGGTGAACTTGGTTGAGAAAGCAGGTTTCTTGCCTCCACCTTTTTTTTTTTTTTTTTTTGCGGTACGTGGGCCTCTCACTGTTGTGGCCTCTCCCGTTGCGGAGCACAGGCTCCGGACGCGCAGGCTCAGCAGCCATGGCTCACCGGGCGCAGCCGCTCCACGGCATGTGGGATCTTCCCGGACCGGGGCACGAACCCGTGTCCCCTGAATCAGCAGGTGGACTCTCAACCACTGCGCCACCAGGGAAGCCCTCTTGGCTCCACCTTTAGAGACTCAGATTCCCTCTCTCTGGTGGGAAGCCCAGGAATCTGCATCTTATCAGACACCCCCAGAGAACCCCAAAGCTTCCAGAGCAAAAAGTCCACATTTATGGGCAAAACACCGTGGCAGCAAATTGAGTAATAGGACCTGGTCACCCTCATCTCAGGTCCTTCCTCACACTCCGAAGGAGAGCAGGTCAGAATGGTTGGAGACTGAGTCTGGCCTTTGAATGGTCTGTGCTTGCATGTGGACAGGCCACCCATGGCTTGCGAGTCAGGCTGAAGTGCTTGAGGAAACCGCCAGACTCTGTGGTCTCAGCTCTCAACCCTCTGTTGATCCCAAAAAAACGATGCTTTGGGCTTGGGGAAAGTGAGGGCAAAGACACTTGAAAACTTAAGAATCTGTAATCCTCACACCTAGAAGTCAGGTCTCCAGGAGAAGCAGGAACCCACCTCCCTGCCCTTGCCATTTTCTCCCTCCACCTCTCCCAGCTCCTCACACCCACAGCATCACCTGACCCTAAGGGGGTCTCGGCACCCCACCGTCCTGCCCATGTCCCCCGCTCCCTGAGATCCTGGTACTCTCCCTCCCTAACACGGGACCAGGAAATTCAGCGTGTGGCCTTAGAGTCCTTACTGGGCTTGACGAGTAAGTATCAAAAGAAGAGATAAGAAAAGAGATGAATTAACCCTCTCCCCAAGGAGCTGAAAGCAAGATGTGCATGTAGACACGGAATGCAGCGTGAGGGCTGGGGCCAGGGTTGGCAGTGCAGAGCCCATGCAGCTAGAATTCCCAGGAGGAGAGCTGAACGCCTCTGAAACGGGGCTTGAAGTTCTCTCCACCCCAAATTAGCCAAACCCCCAGCCAGTTATCAAAGTTTCACACAAACCCAGCAGTGACCCTGGCACAAAGGTGGTAAGACAGAGGGCTTGGGGGCTCTGGCACCCTCACCTGCTTTTTGAGGTTCTCAGTCTGACTCTGCAGCTTCTGAATTGCCTGCTGCAGCTGAGTGATCTGGACTTTGGTCCCCTTCATTTGGTCCCCGTGAAGCTGGGCAGACACCTGAAGCTCCCGGTACTGATGGGGGATGGGGTGACACCGTCAGTGGAGAGGACCCTCACCTTTGACCCCAAGACCATGAGGAACACCATGGCCCCGGTTCTCTGCCTCCTCACATCCTCATTTGGGAAGCGGGTTAAAACGCTTGGAAAACCAGGACACTGTGGGATATGGTTGCGGAAGTCTGGGCTCATCTCCCACAGTTTCCCTGCATTGCCTCCCTCCTGGAGAGGGGAAACATGGTGCCCACCCAGCCCTGATGCTTCAGAGAGGTTATTACAACTGCCCAACGGGACCAAGGTGGACGACCACCCTGGGGGGGCAGGCAGGGAGACCCAGCCATTTCCAGCATGGTGCCTGTCCCCCGGCCCTGGCACCTTGGTCTGGTACAGCATCTCGGCCTCGGCTTTGCTGGTCCCAGCGATCTCCTCGTACCGGGCACAGACCTCGGTGATGAGGTCTCTGAAGTCCAGGTGGCGGTTGTTTTCCATGGACAACACCACAGACATGTCGCTGGCCTGGGTCTGCAGCTGGCCCAGCTCCTGTGGGGAAGACTGACTCAGTGTCCGTTGGCCCCCCAGCTCCCTTTCCCCTTGGAGCCCCGGGCAGGTGGGCAGAGTGCCCTCTTCCTTCGGAGGCAGCCCTCCTTCGTGCCGGGTGACAATGAGCACACCCTGCCCTCTGTGGGGCTGTGTCCTTTTCTGGAATTGAGGGCTGTCCAACGACTCGTGGACATTAAAGGAACGTGTCCGGCAGGGTCTGAAATCACCTGGTCCCCATCACTCCCCTGACCTCCTAACACATCCTCTCTCTTGTTCCCATTGCTCCAGTCACAGCAGCCTCCTTGCATTTCCTCAAAGACACCAGCACCCTCTGCCTGGAATCCCAGATTCCCCACTGTGTGTCTGTCTTCCTCACTTCTTTCAGATCTTGGCTCAGATTTTGTCTTCTAAATAAGGCCATGCCAACCACCCTATCTGAAATCGCCACCTGCCCTACCCCCCTGCCACATTCCCAATCCTCCTTTCCCTGTTCTAATTTTCCTTATTCCCACAGTATTTATCACTTTCTAACATACGTGGTCATTTATTTATTTATTTACTAGGTCTAGTGTTTATTGTCTGTCTCCCAATAGAAAGCAAGCTTCATGATTTTTGTCTGGTTGTTCACTGGTGTATCCCCAATACCTAGTAATTCACATGGTACATTCTCAGTAACTGTTTATCAAAGGACTGAATGACCGGCATCTAATTCACTCTAACCAGGCTTCACCTCCCAGCCACTCCCACTATTGCCACAGGAACCTGCCCACCCTGTCCTCTTCCCTCCCGCCCACCTGCCCCCGGCAGACCATCACTTCTGCCCTTAGTGATCCATACTTCTTCATACAGACGCCTCAAGAAGCAGATGTACTCTTTCAGAGCCTCCACCTTGCCTTCCAACTCCATCTTGCTCGAGAGAACTCCGTCCACATCCTGGGGACAGGAAGATAAAAGCCATATACCCCCACTCCCTCTTTGGGGGTCCCACTCTGACCCAAGAGTTCTGTTCACACACTGCCCAACACCCACCCCATGGCCATCTCCAGCTCCCATTCCTTCCTCCTCCAGCCCCGCCCTGCCCTGCTCTCTCTTTTGCCTGACACTGACCCACACCACCTTCAGGAAGCCTTCCCTGATTCATCCTAACCAGTCCTGTTTCTTCCACTCCCTCCCCACCCTCTCCCACAGTGACACCAGGGCTCATCACATAGTCCCTCAGTTGGATCTTGTCCTGGGGTCCCCCTGCGTCTACGTAGACGTCCCATTTCCTCAGAGGGTCCCTATAGGCAGTGTGACAGCATGTCGTGCGTGAGGATCTCCCACCCACTGCCCTCCCAGCCCAGGACTGGGCTCTGTGCACGGTGGATGCTCGGGATTCGGGTAGAGCAGCTGACCCCACCCTCACCTTTTTGAGGACCACGAAGTCTTTCTCCAGTGTGGCGCACCTGTGGGCCTCCCGTTCATACCTGCCAAGTAAGTATAGAAAGACGCTGCCTGGAGTGCCGGCATCAGAGCCCAGGCCCCTCTCCAAGTACACCCTCCCTGCAAAGGCCACTCTGCTTTAGATGCTCCAAAGCAGGACACGCCACCAGCCTGCTTCTCTACTCTTCCATCAGGAAGCTTTGTCATGTCTTATGTCCCTCTTCACTCTTTCAGCCCAGGTCGACTTGTGACATCAGGTGACTTTGCTTCATGTTTCTAAGGCACATTCAAACACTCTTCTCACTTGCCACTCACAATCATCATCTGAAGCAGGCATTTTGGATTTTATTAGAGAGATTACAAGATGTGCCCAAGTCCTAGATAATTAGGTGGCCCAAGCAGATCTAAAACACAGGTCTCCTGGCCCCAATCTTTCCAGGACCTTCCACCTGTGTCCTGGAGCAATGCTGCCAATGTTTCTGGAAGGTAAGAAAGGCAAGTGGCATTTTCCCAGTCCACAGATATGGAAACTGAGGCTGGGAAAGGTAAGATGCCTTGCCCAAGGCCACACAGCTATTCCTTGCTCACAGTCACTAACCCCAAGCCTCCTGTTGGTCCAGGGCTCTCTCCATACCACCAGGTCACCTGGCGGGGAACCCAGAACCACAGCCTACCTGTGAGTCATGCCACAGGCCTAGGGATGTTCCCACTAATGAATTCTCTTCCACCTCTGAGACCAGAGAATGTCTGAGTCACTTTGACCCACAGCCTGCTCAACAGAACTTTCTCAAGAAAAGAACCCACATAGGCATTGTTAATAAGCCCCTCCCAGCCTTGACCAGAAATGTGGCCCTCGTAACTGGGGCCTGCTAGAATCGAGGCTCTCCAGTCCTGGGTATCAGGGGCTGTGGGACCACTTACTTGCAGCAGGTGGGGCCCCCTGAGAATCAGAGGGAATGGGGATGCGGAGGGGCTAGAGGGGAGGCCGGTCATGTGACCCTGGGAGCTCAGCAGTGAGATACCCTCTGGCTGACAGCCTGATTCAAGCCCTCCCAGCCCCCATCCAGGGCCCATGGGGATGCTGCGTTTTGCCTACTTGGCTTTATACTCCTCCTGCTGGTACTGGCAGGACTTCAGCTCGGCGTCCAGAGACACCCGTTCTCCCTGCAGCTGCTCCAGCTGCTTCCTGAGCTGGAACAGACAGGCCTGGAAGAAAGACTGCAGGGCCTGGGGACTGTCACTCAACTCCTGCTGCTGCAGCAAGTCCCACTTGGTCTCCAGGACCTTGTTCTGCTGCTCCAGGAACCGCACCTACAGCACAAACAGCGGGTCCCTGAGGCAAGCCCCTGCCAGACTCCCTGGGCACAGCCTCTGGGAAATAAAGCCTGAGCAACCCTCTAGCCAGCCCGGAGCCTTTAAGGCCTTTGATAAATATTTTCCAACACACTAAATGAATTATAATGACATTTTTATAAAGGGAATTTCAAAACACTAATTAAACAGAGCCTCAGCATAACCAGAGAGCCTCCAGTTAGACCACAGGAGGGACTTCCTTGCTGCAGAAGTGATTAGAAAACTAGTAGGAGACCAGACTTCCCCATTCCCAAGTCCATCGAGAACAGTTCCTCGAGGGAGTCACAGAGACAGGGGCTTAGCTGAGTTCACCCTCACCTTGTCAATGAAAGAAGCAAACTGGTTGTTGAGGGTTCTGATCTGTTGGGTCTGCTGAGTCTGAACCACCTGGAACTGGGGGTCGATCTCAATCTTCAGTGGGGTCAGCAGATTCTGGTTGATGGCCACTTCCTGGATGCCTCCCGGAGGGCACGGGGAAAGCCCAGGCCCACCGATCCCCTCCCCATACCTCACCCCTAGCCTTCCCCTTGAACCCCAGGCCCTCCCACGAGAGCCTCCTTGGCACCCCCCAAAGGAACTGAGGCTCCTGCTGCTGAAGTTGACCCTGCCTCGGCCCCCCGAGCGAGCAGAACAGGCTGAGCAAGCACTGAAGCCCCTCTGGGCCCGGCAGGGAGAGAGAGACATGGCAGAGACTGAAGGTTTCACAGCTACAGACAGAGGATCCTCAAGGTGTGTGTGTTCCTGCCCTGAGGCCCCGGGACGGCACAAGACTTTTATCTCCTCCCGTGCCTGGGCTGGGTCTTGGAGAGCAAGATGCTCTTGGCCTGAGTGTGTCTGTCACTGACTCCAGCTGGCCTCTTCTGACACGCCTGGGGAATAGGTGCCTGGCAAGTGCAGAGCCCAAGGAAGAGACCCAGAGCCTGCCCTCAGAGCTCCCAGGCTATAGGAGGGATGGGCACATTCTGAAGACCAGGAAGTAGCCAGAGACCTGGATTTCAGTGCTGGGGGATGGGGGGAGATGGCCCTGAGCAAACTTCCTGAGGGTCATTCAAGGAAGGCTTCCTGGAGGAGGAGATGGGGAAGAAGGGAGGCACATTCAAAGGGAAAAGAAGATGGAGGGGGTTCAGATGGAGCCCTTGAGTGCCCTGCAGATGCTGGACAGAGGAGTGCATCTTCCCGAGGGAGGGTCTACATTCGAGAGGAGGAGGAGGAAGGCACTTTGCAGCACAGGAGAAGCCAGGAGGCTAATAGAGGTGTTATTGTCATCGTTAGCTAAAAGACACTGCAGGGCTTCCCTGGTGGTGCAGTGGTTGAGAGTCCGCCTGCCGATGCAGGGGACATGGGTTCGTGCCCCGGTCCGGGAAGATCCCACGTGCCGCGGAGCGGCTGGGCCCGTGAGCCACAACTACTGAGCCTGCGCGTCCAGAGCCTGTGCTCCACAACGGGAGAGGCCACAACAGTGAGAGGCCCGCGTACCGCAAAAATAAATAAATAAATAAGTAAAAGACACTGCAGGATTTGGAAATGAAACAGAAAAACAAGGTACCCAAGTCCCTCTTCTTGCCCAACCCAGCAATCATCCATGAGGCGCCACCCCACTCAAACCAGCCATCTGCACCCGGGGGGGCGGCGAATGGAGCATTTCCAAGCCCAGCCTGTGTCCCTTTCACAAACACACAGCACTAGGCACATCCACTTGGGTCCAGCACTGTGCCTGTCAAGTTACACATCAGAGGATCCCAGGCTCTGAAATAAAATGTACATTTAGAGACATGCCTTCCCCGGGGACTGGGAGCAAAAACAGGAATTTTGAGGCTCGCTTGCAGGATAGAGTCCGTCTCCGCCCTGAGTGTCTGCTAATTGGAGGAGCCCCAAGGTTCATCATTCAGCAGGCCTCCCACCCGGTGGAGGACCCGTGATGGGAGGCATCCAGCCACCTGCACTGCTGCCCTCCCACTGCTGGCAAGGAGGGCCGGCATCTCTGATTTTTAGAAATTTCCAAAATGTCTTCTTTACAAGGCGGGAGGGCTATTTCTCCCTGTCCCTCCCCCGCTTTCTTAGAGCCTGATGCACCCTGAAGCTGGGATACTGGGCCTTTGATAATGCAACTCAAAGCCAGGACAAACAGAGACTCAGCCTAATAAACACTCAAGAGATGTGCTATGAGGAAGTCAGTCCTAGCAATGCAAACAGTCCCATAGATGTTCCACCCCCCGGGACCAGACAATGGTGAGCGCATCTCCCCTCCCTCCAGAGGATTAGAAACTCCATCTGGCAGATGGCATCCCGGAAGGAAACTGAATGACAGATGACGAGGTCAGGCCTTCTGTGGGGAAAACAAAGGAGATCAAGGGACTGAAGGCTCAGGTGAGGAAGAGAAGAGGAGAGAAATGATCCAAGCAGAGATTCAGGGACACAGAGGAGAGAGGAGGCAACGTGGAGCAGCCTCAGAGTCTAGAAAGAGAATCTGGAAAATGGGTTGAATCCCACTGAGGACCCACCTCCAAACCCTACCCCCTGGGGACCACTCTGCAGAGGCAAGGAGGGCCGGGTGCCTTCCTCCCACAAACATTCTTAAGAAAGATCTCCGTGGGCTGGAGTCTACCACCCCTCTCCACTGGCACTGAGGGTGAAGGGCAGAGGTCACACTTGGAACGGGGCCTAATGTACCTCCCTGGAACTTCCCCTTGTTTGTAATATTACAGAACATTAGAGCCAGAGAGCTTCAGGGTCCTCCGGTACAATGCCCTTGTTTCACACTTAAGAACTCTGAGGACCCATAGGGTGTAGTGCAGGGTGCAAAGACTGTGCAGCCTTGAGTAACCTAAGAGATTGCACCAGATGACCGCAAAGCCTACTTTGACCTGTCACTCTGTGGTTTGAGTGACTGGCTCAAGGCCACCTACACAGCTGATCAGGCTGGAGCCAGGGCTCCCACCCAGCTCAGACCACTGCCCCACAGAGCAGCCCACTAAACAAACTTTTGATCATGACTCCACAACGCCTGCCTTGTCCACCCCTCCATCGAGCTCAGGGTCTGGCTTACGCTAGGCATCCAAAGTACTTGTTTAAGAGATGAATTCTTATCCATGACAGTTACAGCCAGGGACCTTCATGAATCCCCGTGAGTTCTCAAACACTGCTGGAACACATGTTTTCCCCTATTTAAAAAAAAAATCATGCTGTGATGGAGAGAATGAAAAAATGGCTTGGACGTTTGAATGCCAGGCCCCTCGGAGGCTGAGTGGTACACACAAAGGTACGCAGAGGGACCCCGATCACGCAGCAGCAAAAGTCCAAATGGCTGGAATCGTGAACTTAACGTTAAACCCAGCATGCAAAGGTTCTAGTGGGTTTTATCTATTGGGTTAAATCCCCTGTTCCAGGTCAACCATCCTCAACCACAGGGGTCCCCAACCCCCGGACCACGGACCAGTAGCTGTCCATGGCCTGTTAGGAACCAGGCCATGAACCGCTACTTGTCCACAGCAGGTACACAGTAGGAGGTGAGCAGCAGGTGAGCAAGCGAAGCTTCATCTGTATTTACAGTCGGTCCCATTGCTCGAATTACCGCCTGAGCTCCGCCTCCTGTCAGGTCAGCAGCGCCATTAGATTCTCATAGGAGCGTGAACCCTACTGTGAACTGCCCATGCGAGGGATCTAGGCTGCGTGCTTCTTATGAGAATCTAATGCCTGATGATCTGAGGTGGGGCTGAGGCGGTGATGCTAGCCCTGGGGAGCGGCTGCAAATACAGATTATCATTAGCAAAGAGGTCGGACTGCACAGAGACCATAATAAATCAGTTGCTTGCAGACTCATATCGAAACCCTATCAGTGAGGGGCAAGTGACAATTAAGCTGCGACTTAGAGTAAACTGGACATAAGCAACGCACCCTGGGTGTCACTGTCTCCCATCACCCCCAGACGGGACCATCTAGTAGCAGGAAAACAAGCTCATGGCTCCCACTGACTCTGTGTTATGGTGAGTTGTATAATTATTTCATTATATATTACAATGTAATAATAATAGAAATAAAGTGCACAATAAATGTAATGCGCTTGAATCATCCCAAAACCATCCCCTGTCCCCATCAGTGGAAAAATTGTGTTCCATGAAACCGGTCCCTGGTGCCAAAAAGTTGGGGACTACTGCTCAACCACACCTCATGCTCTACAGTCCCTGCCCACCCCAGTCCTGCCTTCGAGAATGCCCTGGCCAATGCAGCTTCTTGTAGCTCCCCAGCAGCCCCTTCTCTTACTGCTCCACCCTGAGTTCACCCCTGGCCACAGCTACAACTCCTCAATCTCTTTCTCTCTAATTGCCCTCAAGCCTGTTCTGCTTGTGAAGCGGATTTTTTGACCCAATAGCCATTTATCCACATTTATTTATTGACTCAACAAGATATGATTGAGCACCTTCTATGTGCCGGGGCCTATGCTGAGAGTTAGGAATTTAGCAGAGAACAAGGCCCAGCCCCTGCACCAAGAAAGCTTAGAGTCTAGTAGAGAAACAGACACAGAACAGGTAATTAGATACGTATTTGATTGCAATTATGATAAGGAGAGAAAAGTACAGGGCATGAAAGAGGCCTAATCTAGTTTAGCCCCTAATTTATTCTCGAACATGCCAGGAGCACTCCTGCCTCAGGGCCTTTGCACTGGCTGTTCCCTCTTCCTGGAATGCTCCTTCCCAGATCCCCGTAGAGCTACAAGTCAATTTCTCTGGTTGTCCTAAACCAAAAGTGCGACGCTGAGGCCATCCTTCATCTGACACTTCTTACCCCTTCCCTGCTTTATCTCTTTCCATTTAGCACTTAGCGCTCCCTAACATACCGTATATTTCACTTACTCATTTTGTTTGTCAGTCTTCCTGCACTAGAATATCATTTCCACAAAGGTTGGGATTTGGTCTCTTTGCTCACTTCCGTAACCTCTGCACCTAGAACACTGCCTGACATACAGTAGGTGCTCAGTAAATACTTGTTAAATGAATGATTCCCCATTCAATTTCATCTTGTTGATTTCCTTCCATCTTTTAACCCCTGGATATCCTTGTGAATCTCAATTCTGTTCTCCAAAGCACTGATCACTCCCCATCTCACTCCCCCACAAGGTTGGGAGCAAGCAAACATGGTAGTGTGTGTGTGTGTGTGTGTGTGTTATTGAGCTCCTGCTGTGGGCTGAGCACTGAGTTAAATGATACAGGAGACATAAGATGGATAAGGCGCCATCCCCATCCTGAAAGAATATATAGTCCCGTGGAGAATACACGTATGAACAAAGAATGGGGGAAACGATCTGAGAAAGAGTGCACTGGGCTGCAAGTGGGCATGTTGGTGTAATAGTGAGGGATTCCTCTTTTTACCTGGACTCTCCTCTTGTCCTTGGAGGAAAACAAGGACAGAGCCTTGTGGCATGCCACTAGAAACCCTTCCTCTGCAGTTTTACATCCTCCCAGTGTATGTCCTTTGGATGCTATGCTCAGCTGTTTGGGAATCTACCCACCTGTACTTTTATCTAAGAACTCTACATATGGTAAGCATTTGATACTAACAACCCTATGAAGTTGGTACTATGATTATCACCACCTTGCAGAGGGAACAAATAATTTTCCCAAGGCCACACAGCTAGTAAGTGACAGAGCCAGGATTTGAACAGAGATAGTTGGACTCCAGAGTCTTTGCACTTAACCACCTCACTGTGCTCCTCTCAGAGACCTGGGAATGTCAGTATTGAAGGACACCTTAACCAACTGAAGCCCAGAGAGGTAGAATGACTTGCCCGAGGTCACACAGCAGATCCAAAAGTGAACTCATTTCTCAACATTCATCCATGATCAACATTAATTAAGCACTACCAGGTGCCAGACACCATGCCAGCCCAGGTTAAACAAAATTTAATGAAAGTCCCTGCCTTCGAGGTGTTTGCAGTCAGGAAGGGGAGTGGGAGAGAAGTGGGGAATCTATTTGAAAACCAGTAAGTGCAGTAAAGTGTTGGAGTCTCCACTGTAGACGCATGTACAGGTCTTGTGGTTCTGGCCATCTTCTCGAAGCAGCAGCGGCAGGAGTGCTTATTTTGGGCACGTCCCAGAAGAACAGAAGTCATCTCCTGGGGCAAGATGAGGCGGGGCTACCCACACCCATTCGGGTCTTCCTAGCTTTCGCAGGGCAACGAAGGGGTTGGTTAGTGTCCTGTCCTGTTTGAGGGGAACTGGACAGAAAAGGCTCAAGTGTCTCGGGCCTGCCTTTAGTCAGCCTCCCCTCCCCCACCACGGACACCCCATGACTTCCCCGATCTAGGCACAATGGAACCTTCCCTCAGCTCTGCTTTTGCAGCTGGGAAATACATGCCAGATTCTGACCCAGAATCTCCTGAGTCTCCCAAACATCAGCCACTCACACTCAACCTCCATCATCGCGCCGTTTTGTAAAGCCAGATGTACTAGTATATACTTAATATTTTCTTTAAATCAAAGCTAAATCAGTTCACTTCTTTCTTATCCTGACCCTAAGCCGTAATATCCTTGAAAATGTAGCTTTTGCGTGCTGGTTCTAATTTTTTTGAATTCATATTCAAATAAAACATAACTATTAAAATGTAAAACATTCCTCCATGTGCTGTCGGCCTACAGAGAACACAGGTCAATCTCGTCCCTATTCGAAGTTTCCCAAAGCCAGGGAGGGCAAGGAGGGCGTAGCACCCATCAGATGTGGCTGATTTCTATCTCGCCTGTAATTACAGCTCTCTTGGCCTGTCGGGACAGGAGGCGAGGGAGGAGATGAAAGGTCTGCCCTTCACTCTTCCCCAGGCCAGGCAGAGCACACTCACACCAGCCTGCTCTGCCCTGGCACCGTCCTGCCTGCTGGGCTGGGGGCGGGTAGCCCCTGCCCTCCTCACTGCACTGGCAATGAAGGAAGGCGCTGTCCATCCAGAGAATGGGCTTATTGTGAGGGAAGGGGTGTCCCAGAGGGGAGCCAAGCTGCTGCCTCCTCAGGCCTCCGTGCCCAGGTAATGAGCCCCCAAAACCCACAGGGAGAGGCCTGGAGAGGAAAGATTTGCAAAGCTTTTCCTGGGAGCTCAGTAGTTAAATGTTTGTCTCCAAGTTCCCGGTTGAGGGTGGAAATGAGGAGGGACAATGCCAAACTCTAACTTTGGAGTAATAACCATTTTCCATGCATAACACACTTTTTAGAATTCTATTGATGCACCCCAACGTTCATTGCAGCACTATTTACAATAGCCAAGACATGGAAGCAACCTAAATGTCCATAGACAGATGAATGGATAAAGATATGGTATGTATACACACACACATGCACACACACACACACACACACACACACATATACACAATGGAATATTACTCTGCCATAAAAAAAAGAATGAAATCATGGCATTTGCAGCAACATGGATGGACCTAGAGATTGTCATACTGACTCTGAGTGCCAATCACTGTGTCGGGCCCTGTAGATGTTTCACGTGCTTTAATCCTCACCACGATCTGAGAAGTGGGGATTATTCTTATTCACACTACAGACACAGAAACAAAAACAACTGCCCAAGATCTCAAAGACGTGAAGAGGCCCAGCCAGGACGAGAACCCAGATCTTCTAAGTATCCTATCGTCTCCTCAGGAAGAGAAGCCTCCTCCAAGACTCCTTCTTGCAATAGGAGGAGTGTTTCCCTAGTCAACAGAGAACCAGAAACTTCCCCTCTGGTGCGTGCCGGGGAGAGAGGCCGTGGAGGGGACTCGCTGAGCTTCCCTGGGCAGTGGGGGCTGCTGTGTAACAGCTGGCTGTCTGCGGGGTTGGGAGAACACGTCTCTGTTTTGTAGTGTTTGCCATCTTCTAGGGTATAAATGGTCCCGCCATGGCTGATTTCAAGCTACCGGCATGATGTCACTGACTGCAGAGTTGGGAAGAGGTGAACACGGTTAGCCCTCACGAGATTGCACAACTGGCTCCAGCACACCACTGGCCGAGGGTGAGGAAGGTAGAGACCTTTCTGTGGAGGGGGACCCGTCCCAGACTGTGGGAGCCAAGAACACATCTTTAGGAGCAAACTGATGGTAGCTGGGAGAGGAAAGAGGGCTGGGCTGAGAGGGGAAAATCTGAGTTGAGGGTCCAGACTTGCCCATCAGGACCCAGCACGCAGCCACTGCCACTCTGAACCAATCAGGTTCAGCCAGTTGGGTGCCCTGCTGCAAGCAACCACTCCTGAGTTGGTAAATATTTATACAGCATGTTACTAAGGACAGCCTCCCAACACCCCAGAGGTCCATGGGGCAACTTCTAGGGCAAAGTTTCCAGGATTCCTACAACCCTGGGAAAATGAGGTCAAGGCCCCAGCAGAACTCCTGGACTGGGAGATAGGGTAGGGGGTTTACCTGGACCAGCTCCCTGCCCCTCCTCCGTCCCCCTCCCCAGCAACCCTCCCATGGCCATCTGAAGCACTAAGCCCTGGGCATGGGGCATGGGGAGGGGGTTGAATCTTCTGCCCCCATCCCCAAGGAACTTCAGTCTGAGAGAATAGTATTTTCAGAACTGCAAGTTACAACTCACTAGTGGGTTGTGAAATCAATTTAATGGATCTCGACCAACATATCAGAGTGTATCACCATAAAATTGTGTTCCATGTGCATATGTCTGTGTACGTGTGTACAGAACTGTGATATAAAATGCATTTCTTACTAAGGATCATTGTCCAAAAAAGCTGAGAAACCCTCTGATAGAGGAGGTGGTCCCACCCCCAGACACACGCAAACCCAAGAAATAAGACCAGAAACAGGAGTGGCGTTAGTTGTCAGGACTGGGGGATGGGAAAATAAAGGTTTAGTCTGGGGAGATCTTCCAGAAGAGAAAAGTAATGAAAGCAGGATTGGGAGGGGGAACTTGGAGAGTGAGGACCTCTCTCAATTTATCCTGAAAGTTAGGAAATTCTCCTAATACCAAATCTAATCCCTAAGCCCACTGATGCATGCTCTGCCCTGCAGCCCGCCGACTCCCCAAAAGGATGAATCACGGGCCCCTGCTCCACAGAGCCTCCGAGTCACAAAAGGGACAAGGACAGGAACCACTGGTTGGGTCCAGGGGAGGGAGGGTCAGGCAAGCCAGGGAGCACAGACAGCAGCGTGCTCAGTGCCAGCAAGGCAAGGAGGGCCAGACTGCGTATGCCGTGGCGACACAGACCAGGTCTTGGGAATTGTAGACGCTAGTTAAGATCACAATACTCCACAACTGGAGAATGACCTGACACCAAAAATGCCCCACACGTGCATAATACCTGCCAGTTGTTGTCAGATGTCAGAGCAGAAAGACCTAAGAGGTCATCTTATCCCACACCCTTGTTTCATAGCACAAGATACTGAGGCCCAGAGAGGGCAAGCAACCTGCCCAGAGCACACAGCAAGGGTAGGACTAGAGCCCACTAAGCCAGGACTCATTTCATCCTGCACTGCAGAGAGCCATGAGACTAGGACAGAGACTATAGAAGAGGACCCCAAACCCCCACCCACACAGCCCCCCCATCCCAACAAGCTCATGCACGCTATCATCCACCCATAACGTTTCCTGGGCGCTTCTCAGCACCAAGCACTGTGCTCGGTATGCGGAGATACACCACATAATCCCCTCCAGGTAAGAAGGGAGTGCCCCACCTGCTCTCCAGAAAAGGAGACTGGCTCTGTGATCTCCCTGACCTGCTCCAGACTCTTATGACTGTCAGGAAATTCTCGGGTCTAACCTCACTCCTTCCTGCTGCAACATCAGCCCAGTTCCTCTTGGCCCCAGAGGCACCTGCTTGCTAGCCTGGCCTGGCAAGGGGGGAGTGCTGCCCAGGACCTTCTCCCGGCTTCTGAGTCAGCCCGTCCATTGTTCCAATGACTTTACCTAAACCTTTTTGTACTAAGGTGGCACAAAAAGCCCGGGGAGCCGTGCCAGCAGAAGTTTGTGGGCGGAGAAGTGGCAGAAAGAGGAGAGGACCGGCAGGAAGATGTTGGATGGGCAAGTGAAAGGGGGAGAAAATGCAGATCCCATCCACTGCCGTGCTTCTTAAAGTCTAGGCTCCTGTTTTAAAGATGTGGAGGAAGAAGAAGAGTCCAAAGCTGGTGACACTTCCTTTTCTTTATACAAACAATACAAATTCATTGTTGAAAAATTTAAAGCAACAGATAACAAAATTAGAAAAAATAAAACTCTTCCAAAATACCACCACCTAGAAGTAGTCACTATTAACATTTTGGTGCATAATCTTCCAGACTTTTCCATATGTAAATATCTTTCATTATTCATTAAACCTATATTTATTGGACACTTTCTATGTGCCAGATATTTTTCCAGTGCTAAGAATAAAGTAGTAAAAAAAAAAAAAAACAGATAAAAATCCATGCCTTTATGGAGTTTCCATCTCACGATGATGTGTGTGTGTGTGTGTGTGTGTGTGTGTATGTCTATTCATATGTCTAGTATAGTGCTGTATTCTACGATAGTGTAAGCACCATTTATTCGTGTAAATATGTATTTCCCAGAAGTGGGATCATATTACACATACAGATTTCTAGCCAGTTTTCCTCCCCGTCTGTGTCAATAAATATACCCTTAGATTATAGTGAATGGCTCAGAGCATTCCCTTGCATGTATTCTCAGGGCTTTTCCCCAATTCCACTGTCTGATTTCTTCCCCGCAGGAGACCTGAACCTTGCTCTGGAAGCCCATTGGCACACGCGCATGCGCGCAGACACGTACAGGAGGCTGCACGCGCGCGCTGCAGACACGGGAGCCAGCCGTCGGCCTGATGGATCGTGCAGTCTAATGTAGTCCTGGAACGAGACATGTTTCCAGGATTCACCAGGGCACAGCCCCATTCCCGGCGTTCCCATCCAGGCAGGAGCAGGAGCCCGGCTTCTCCCAGTCTTGACTTCCCCTGCAGGCGGCCGGGGTTCTCGCAACTGGAACCAGGCCTGGGAGCCCGGCAGGAGCCAGCCCTGCAGCAACAGGAGGAACAGAAGCAGGGGCTGATTCTGATCTCCCTGAGTCCCTTCTCTGCCACCGCCTTCCTGGTGCCTGGTGGGGATGTAAGGCCAGAGGCCTCAAACAGCCCCCCTAATGGGGACCTAATGCCCTGGTGATTTCTGGGCATTTTTCTGGACTTTAAGAAAGTCCCAGCATAGCACAGGGAGATCAGCTAGGTGGCTTGTGACTACCTAGAGGGGTGGGATAGGGAGGGTGGGAGGGAGGGAGACGCAAGAGGGAAGAGATATGGGAACATATGTATATGTATGTATGTAAAGCAATTATACTCCAATAAAGATGTTAAAAAAAAAAAGAAGAAGAAGAAGAAGTCCCAGCTGGCCCAGACTGCCTGGGTTCGGATACTGTCTCCACTACTGACTAGCTGTGTGGCCTCAGGCAAGGCACTTAACCTCTCTGGGCCTCTGCATTCCCGACTATAATAAGGGGATAATCATTCCTATTTCATAGGGTTGCTGTGTATGTCAAACAAGATGATACACGTAGAATGCTCAGAACAGAACTCAGCACAGTGTAGTACCCACCAACTATTAGCTTTATTTTATTTTATTTTTTTATTATCATCGTCTCCTGAGCCTCCACTCACCAACCAGGCCTGGCCTACTAAAGGCTGACTTTCCTGGGACTCCTGCTCTCACTGTGGTCTGAAGGGCTTTTTGTGCCCTCCCGACCTCCCAGGGTAAAAGAAAGAGAGAATAGGGACATGCGTGCGAATACATGCAGGGTGTGTATCGCCAGGAGCTTGTAATGAATGTGAGGGAGTGAGCGTGAAGGTGAAAAGAGATTGGACATGATCGTGAAGGACTACATATGTGTGCATACAAGTAAAAATGTAGGGGCTGTGGAAGCCAGGTTTGGGTGTGAACGTGTAAGCTAGCAGTGTGCGTCAGGGTGAGAGTGTGAATACATAGCTTCTGTGAATGTGTATGGTAGAAGACACTTGCGTATGACAGCATGTAAGGGTGTGTGTGTGAAAGAGGGGAGAGAGGGGTGTGAATGTGTTGTGAGGTTGTGTGTTGTGATGTGTGTGTGTATGAGGGTTGTGTGTGGATGTCCACAGTCCCCAGCCCCACCCCAGGACCCAGGAGACAGTGCTTCATCAGAGAAAAACATTTCCCAGTGCCCTGACTTGTTGTGGGAGAGACTTTTTTTCTCCCTTCAAAGCTCTCAAGTTTCCTAGAGAAAAGCTGCTAGCTCAACAGAGCCCAACGTTAAACCCGCCCCCCTGATCGAAACTCGGGAAGGAAACCAGCACCAGCCGTCCCCACTTTGCACCCTCACCCCTACCCCCGCCTGGGAAAGCTCCAGCTTGACCCACACTTTGCCCCCCACCTCCCACTGGCTGCTCAGGTCCACACCCTCTCCCTGTTCTCCCCAGCCCCTCCGAGGGCCAGGGTGCCCAGGGCAGCTCCCAGCCACTGATGAGAACGCTTAAACCCCTCTGCTAGCTTTGAGAGCACTTTGCGTACCTGCCCAGGCAGGCCCAACCAGGGGTAGCTGGCAACTCCACGCAGAGGGGAACTGGGGCTGGGGGGAGGGGGACCAGCTTCAAGGCCCACAGCCAACCCCCTCCCAGGAGGCAAGCACTCCAACCCACACTGCCTCTCCTAAGAAGGCAAAATCCCAATAAAGGACTAGGTGGGAGGGTGTCTCAGAGAGAAAGGCCACTTGGAGGTAGGGGTTGGACATCAAGTAGGGTCCTTCCTGGGGCTTCCCTGGTGGAGCAGTGGTTAAGAATCCACCTGCCAATGCAGGGGACACGGGTTCGAGCCCTGGTCCGGGAAGATCCCACATGACACGGAGCAACTAAGCCCGTGCACCCCAACTACTGAGCCTGAGCTCTAGAGTCCGTGAGCCACAACTACTGAGCCTGTGTGCTACAACTACTGAAGCCCATGTGCCTAGAGCCTGTGCTCCACAACAAGAGAAGCCACTGCAATGAGAAGTCCGTTCACCACAACGAAGACCCAATGCAGCCAAAAATTAATTAATTGATTAATTTTTTTTTAAAAGTAGGGTCCTTTCTTACATTTAGGGGCTCAAGAGAAGACCTCTCTTCCAGGACGTTGTCTCAATTTTTAATACTATTATATGTATCAAGAATAATTAGGGACATACCACTGTAAAGCAATTATACTCCAATAAAGATGTTTTTAAAAAAAGAATAATTAGGGAGTTCCCTGGTAGCCTAGTGGTTAGGACTTGGCGCCTTCACTGCGGTGGCCCGGGGTTCAATCCCTGGTCGGGGAACTGAGATCCCACAAGTCGCGCGGTGCAGCCAGAAAAAAGAATTGTTATCACATAATGCACAACTACTACGTTCCAGGTGTGTTACATATTGTGCTTCTAATTAACACCATTTTATAGATGGGGAAACTGAGGTTCAGTCAAGTTACATTACTTGCCCTAGCTCACACAACCAGCGGTGGCAGAGCCAGGATTTGAACCAGGTCTGTCTGTACAACCTGGACCCTTTCTCAGGTTTGTGCCTGCATCTGCCTGTCTGTTCTCAGCCTGAATCGGCACCTCCGTTCTTCCCCCTCTACCAGGGGGGTTGGGGGAATCTAAAGAAAGACAGAAACCTGCTCAGCCAGCTGGAACAACTCGGGCAACAGCGGGCTGGGGCAGCTGGCAGCACCTTGCAGAGGAGGGGAGCGTGGAGGGGCCTCAGGAAGCAAGGGGGAGAGATTGTTGAGTGGAGGGGATAAGAAGGGGGACCCAGACCTCTGTGACACCTGGCTAGGGAGGGTGGCACATGGTTGCATGTAGGATGGCAGAGTGGGGAGTGGAAATTAAGGTAGAAATTGAGGCCTAGTGGCTGAGCCCCCAGAGTACCTACCCCGCTGTGCCATCACTTCCGCAAGGAGGCCTGGGCCGTCTGCCTCATGGCTTCTGCTGGGCCAGAGGTCTCAGACCGAAGAGCCCAGGTGGTGGGCATCTGAGCACCTCCAAGCTCTGGAATGTGCCAGAGCTTCATTCCTCAAGCCACCTCATTCCCAGCAACAGGGAAGAGCATTAAGGCCCCAGGCATGTGGGAAAGAGAAACCCTGTGGGTCTCCAGAGTGGCCAGCCAAGGTTCCCGGAGGGTCGGGGACAGAGAAGGGGGCGCCTGGCTGAAGCTCCAGGAGACGGGAGATGGGCAGGGGCCAGGGAGGGAGTGGGAGGTGGGAGAGATAGCAGGGCAGGGTGAATGAAGGAGAAGTGAGGGGAGGAATTGGATGGGGGCGGGTCTGGAGAGGGGAAGTTCTGTCCTGAGACCAGGCTGGGGCAGAGCACTTGGAGGAGAAGGCAGGGCAAACTGCCCCGGCCCCCGCCCCAGCCCCCTCCCAGCTTCCCCAGGGGCAGCCAAGTGCCAGGGAGAACTCATGTCTATCCCCTGGGGAAGCAGGGCTTCAGTCCACAGGCCCTCTCTCTCTGGGACTCTACTCCAGGAAACTGACCAGTGTCCCCCTCAGCCCCCCAGCTTCATGAAGGCCTTTTGCAAGAGGGGAGTATAGAAACTGCATCAAACCCCCCTTTAAAAGTTCCTTGGGGAGCCTGGCCCACCACCAGGGGAATAGGCCAGCGCTGCAGCAAGGGGGATTGGAGTCAGACCCCTGACACCATTAAGGGAAGGACAACAGACACGAGCAGTGGGCCTGGGTCAAGGGGACGCAGGTCCGGCAGGGAGAGGCTGCCCCACAGAGGCAGGGGAATGCTCCAGATGACTTCTTCAGAGTCCTCACCTGACCCCAGGGAGCCCTTTGGTGCCAGACCACAGAGCAGAACCTCCACTCTCAGGGACTTCTCAGGAGGGCCCTGCTCTCCAGAGGCTGGGGGTGGGAGTGGTCCTGTTACATTCTGTTCAAGCGCATTTGATACTTAGTGATTTGCGAGGGCAAAAGGGAGAAACTGGGAAACATTAATCCAACCCCATGGGAGCCATATACAAATGAGGATAATGGTCCCCACCAGTGACATATCATGACAATTAAGAGAGGTAACTAAAGCAGTTAGCACAGGCCTGGCACAGTCACTTGGAGGGAGGGAGCAGTAAAAAATGGTATCCTAAAGCTCAGAGACAGGTAGAAAACAGGTGACAAAGTCTCTCAGGGCCCCAGGGACCTGGCCAAAACACCCTCGGCTCTGGCCAGGGCGAGGTAGCTGGGCTCATTTGCACGTCATTTGCATGTGTCCTGTCTGGCCACTGACACTTGTCACTCCTGTCGCTTCAGAGCCACTGGGCCCCACGTGGTCTCTGTCCCTCCCTCGTGGCCTTTCCCAGACTCCTGAGGGCTGAAGGACCCCGGAGAGAGAAGAGAGCCCGAGTCAGGGACATAGGGTCTGAGAGGGCACCTGGCTTCTGGAGACGGCCCGTACCGCTGCCACTGGCCCAGAGCCTGGCTTAGGGCGACCCCTGCAGGGAATTCCCGGAACAGAGGGGAAGGAAGGGGCCAGCGCTGACCCGTCCCCGCTCCACGTGGGCCGCAGCCGCCCAGCTCCTTTGCCTCCGACCTGTGGCACCGCTCCCGGGCACCTGGAGTCTGGGGGCAGACCCACTCACACCATGCCCCCATCCTGACGGAATCCGTAAACTCACATCCCTCCCCGCAGCCAGCCAAGACCAAGGGGTCAATGGGGATTGTAGCCCAAACACCGGGTAGGAATCTTCGGGAGCTCTGCAAAGTCAGCAACACTCCAGCACCTCTCCTCCAGATACCACTGGATCTGCACTAGTGCCCACCTCGGCTATCACACCCCCATCTCGCAACCCAGGATGGAAGGGCTCG